AACAAAACAAAATCACCCCAACAAGATGTATCACATAAAATCCAGACACCGTTGTGGTTGGCTTAGTGGTATAATCCAAATTCTAGATCATAGAGTTGGGGGGGGTTTCACTTGTTTGCTGATAGCCAGCCGTATGAATGTATGTAGCACATCATGGAAGATTCAGATCCAAGTTTGTCATTACAGGGCTAAGTTTTCGTATATTAAATATTTCAAAAATGGAAGAACGTACAGACCCTAGCAAAGAGTAGAGCTTAGACGCTCTGTCTCTATCTACATTAATTGAATGGCCCCAAGTTGTTCGTGAACTAAAATCATGGCTTCTAGCAGCATACTTTGCTGCTGCTTGTGAGGGCCTTTTGATGATTCAGGTGTCCATGCTGCAGATTTTTTTTGAGTGAGTATAATGAAGAATAGTAAGTTTGCTTGACATCCAACTATGTTCCTAGAGTGTGTTATTAAAACCCTTGCAGCTTATCCGCGGCTGTGCTATAAAGCTGTGGTTTTTTCCATGGTTGTCAAGTATTATGTAGAAAGCAAAACAGAAGCCCAGAAGGGTGTAGCATGACCTTTTGCACAATTAACACCTTCGATCTAAAGATCTTTTATTGAGACATTAATCGTTAATAAAGCTTGAAAAGTAATTTTCTACTTTGCTTTTAAATGATAATGTGTTTTCAGAAGCATGGAAGTTTTAAAACAAACTAAATTTATTGAATTGAAATATCTAGGTCTTTAGCAAAATTTTAGGAAGTTTGAATGGTTGCCTGTCCTGAAAGAAAGGTTCATCAGGAAAAAAAAAGGAAACATTGATATAGAAAACGTATATTAATTGATGCATTCCCCTGTCTTACAAAGATGAACTTTGACAAGGAAGTGACTGTGGTCTTCCTTGCTAATAATGATAATGAATTGTAATTGGATATTTACATAAAAAGCCCATTTTTGATACCAGCAACTCTTTAGTATAGGTCTGAGGAGGAGGGATGTCTGTGTCCTAGTAAAATAGACTCCCATAAAAATGCCTTTCAAAGTTTCCTTGAAACATTAAGAGGAAAACTGTGTGTGTGCTGTGTTTTTGTTTCGTTGGTCGTTCTTTTTTTGTCTTTCTTCCTTTGTTTTTTCTCCTTAACGTAACATTCTCAGTATTTCTCTTCTGGTCAAGGAATTGCTAGGCTCAAACATAGGCTTTACTTTGGAACAAATAACTATTATAGACAACCAATTTAGGTAGTATTTTCAAAATGTCATATAAATTAAGTCTTGGAAATATATAATTGAGTGAAACTATTTGTAATATATACATAAACAATGACAAAGCATTTATATTGCAGAAGACAGGCACTCAGTGAGCTGTTGGCGTGTATTTATTTACAATAACTTACTGGAGAAGTTGAAACATTCTGTGTCTTGGTAACTCCAAAGACTAGAAGTTAATCTAGTAGCAATAATGATTCTGATATCAACATAGATGTCAACAGAATGTGATGTCAGCACAATATGTGAAATTGACCTACTCTACTGCTGTTAAATTGCAGCTATTAAATTAACTCTATTAAATACTTCTTGGCTTTTTTTTAATAAATACTAGCCAGTTGCACTCACTAGAACATACACTGTTTTTTAAAAAGTCACACCAAGAAAACTACAAGCCTTAGTTAAGAGTAGATTACAGGCTTTGTTACATGCCTAGGTTTTGGTTTTAATAAATGAAGACTGTTCGTTTGAAATAATTTTTTTTTCAGGATATTTTTGAAACCTTTTTAACGCAGATGCCTTGTCTGTCCCATTCTACGGCCGTTGACAGAGGTCTTCGCAGACAGCTTTGCACAGCTCAGACTGCAGTATGTTTTTATTCTTTCCTAGTCAGCCTGGTTATGGAGCCCAAGGATCTTGGGCTTACTTTAATAGTCAGATAGGTACCGACTCTTCTATACCATTATTATGTTGCTTTACCTGCTGTTCCAGTGCTATAGAGGATGTCTAGCTGGTGCTTATCTGAAAGTTTTAAGTCCCCCACATCCTGTAGTCTCAGAAGAGCAAAAAATACGATCACAAAATGGTCAGAGAAGAGAAATTATATGAAGAACACAGAGTGGAAGGCATACCTATGGGTGATACGGGTTGGCAGGGCTTGCAAAACCCAGGGTGAGTCTGCTGGTGTTCCTTGCTCAGTGAAGGTCTGAGAAGTGCCTCAACGTTCTCCCCGTGCTGAAGCGGCGGCTGGTCCCGAGTAAGTCGACCATTTGCTCCCACCACCACTTGTGAGGCCACGGCAGGCAGAGTGGCCGTGCTTTCCTTTCGGTAGCAAATACATTGTGCTTTCTTCTGCTGGAAACCTCTCCCTGTAAGTCAACAATTGATTTTTAAGAAGTAAAAAAAAAAAAGAAAAAAAAAGGTAAATTTGCTTTTTGAGACCTGTTTAACTAGGAGCCTTTGTTGCTATGCTTCATCTCCTTATTTTTGAAGACATGATCTTCTGCTGAAGTGTTTGATGCAGAGAGAACATTTACAGCTACTTAAAAATTAGATTGTGAAAAAAATAATAATAAACGGCTGTTGATTTCGGTCCTCACACCTACTATTTTTTTAATCTATACACTCTTTAAAATCACTTGTACAGACCTCCTGTGAAGACTGTGTGGTGCTTAAATAACAGCAACGTGTAAAGGCTGGACACGACCTGACTCCTACAGAAGCAGGAGATGGGCAGCTGCCGCGGTCCCTGTTTTGCAGATGGGGGATGCAAGGCGTAGGAGAAACTAAGCTCAAACCCTCAGAGTCGCTGAGGTCTGGCTTTTGATCTGGCACGTTGACACCTCTGTGGCCTGGCCTTACTTGAGCACAACTGTGCAGGGAAGCTGTGGCAAGAGGGAAATTGAAAGGGGGTTTGTCCTTGTCCCAGATGGAGACCCTAATCCCTGAGCTGTTCCTCTTTTGTTTCCATAGGAGAGAATTCTTCCTTTTGTCTCAAGTACTAATGGAGGGGGAGAGGTTTAGAAATCTTTTATTGTCTTTCAAATAATTACAGTGTACCCTAGTAAGAGTATAATGACTCTTGTCTAAGCGAGGTGATAGATCAACGAGCGATGCTAGTATTGGTATTTTAAATTTGGTACCCTGTCAAAGACTCCTCACTACCTTTGCAAATTAAGTATTCCAGAGGAGTCCTGGCACCCCTGTGCGAAGGGACAGCTGTTAAAAATCCGCAGGACGTGAGTACGGGCAAAGGCTGTGTCCAACCAGAATGGCAGGAGCAGTTTAGGTGGGCAAAGAGTCAGTCCTAAACCTGGGACTGCTCCAGGAAACTTTAAAATCCAGACTGCAGGCCACTCTTGGCGGGGGAATAGCATGTTGTTGTTTGGCACTTCAGAAGTATTAAGAGAAGGTTCATGCTTTCCCCACTTTGTCCTAATGATGTTCAAGCAGACCCATTAAAGAGCAATTTCATTTAAAGTTGGAATTTTTAATTTTTTTTTTTTTTAATCTATAGAGAAAGGTTGCCATTCTGAAACTGGGACTAAGTCCTCTATTAGCAGGTACACAGTTCCATGTTAACCACTTTTTTCAGTTTCTTAATGTGCTTTTTTTCCTATATTCTTCTAGGAGCAATATTTTTCTGAAAATATCTGTCACTACTTCACTGCCCTGCCTTGCCCTGCAAACTTTTTCAGGGAGATGATATAATATGTTCTTTTTTCGTTGAAAGTAATGAAAAATATTTTTGTTACTCAAAACAATTGTGGGCAGGAAAACAATAAGATGGGGAAGAACCTTTTTTATCTGGAAAATAGCAGGTTTGCTCTAATTAACTTAAAGCCAGTGGAAAATTCTGCTGAGTGTCTATGTGAAGGGTTTGGCCCCGAAATCTCTCAGCAGAGTCATAAAGTATATAACTGAGGAAGGTTGTGCTGGTTTTGCATTTGCCTCTAACTCCTATATAGAAGTGGGTCTAGGGTTCGCGTGACACGAACTAAGCTGCATCTGAGTGTGTTCTAAAACCAGTTTTGCTTCTTGCATGTTTTCCCACGATAAATTCATGGAATCACAGAATGGCTGAGGCTGAAAGAGTCCTCTGGAGGTCATCTGGTCCACCCTCCCTGCTCAAGCAGGGCCACTTAGAGCCGCTTGTCCAGGAATTGCATCTTTAGTTTCAGAGAAAAGAGGGAGAATACGCTGCTGTACAAATGGAAAAGATGTTTGGCTTTTCTTGCCCTCCCACCTTCCATCAGGTGAGAAGGTTTGGGGGCAGAGGCAAGGTGCTGGCTGTGTCCAGGTGCCAGTTTGCAGTTGTAGCACCTAGAAATCAAGAACAGTGCTCTTGTCCAGATTGAAGAAATTCAGCTAATATTAATTTGTCTGAAAAACGAGGAATGTAGCAGCTAGATAGCTGACAGAAAGATAAAGTCATTCTGTTTAAGACCAGGATGGAGCTGAGAGCCAGAGTGAAGGAGGACTCAGTTTTGCCTCTTTGCTTGAAAAACACATCTATCTTTGTGCTTTAAAGACTGATTAGGGTACACAAGCAGATTTGTGAAAGTGTAAGCACCCTCTTGTTTGACCTTGCGTTTTCTTTTAATGCTTAACTATACTTAGCTTTAAAATATTTTTGTGAAAATTCAAATGTGTGTTCATCACTTGGTAGTTCTCTAATATGGATTTCTAGAGAGTCATTGTGGTGGATTGACCTTGGCCAGATGCCCACCGGCCGCGTTCTTGCTCCTTGTCCTCAACAGAAGAGGGGGAAAATAAGATGAAAAAAACTTGTAGATTGAGATAAAGACAGGGAGAACACTTACCAGTTACTGTCGTAGGCAAAACAGGCTTGACTTGTGGAAAATTAATTTAAGTAATTAAAATAGTTGGATGATGAGAAAAAAAGGCATAACTCATAATGCCTTCCCTCACCCCCTACCCTTTTTTCCTAGGCTCAACTTCACTCCTAACTCCTCTACCTCCTCTCTACACCTTTATATATTTTTATTCTCTTCTTTTTTTAGGAGGGGCAAGAAGCATAGTATAATTCTGAGGACCCAGCTGTCGGTGAGAGTCCATGCCTGCATTGGTAAGTGAAGTTGCACATGCCTGAAAGAGAAAAATAAACAGAATTGATCTCTGAGAAGCAAATCTGGGCAGTATGAATCGGACTCGCTGTGTTCCAAGTTGAGGATAATGGCCAATAAATTGATTTCTTTGTTCTGTTTGTTGCGTGCTAAAATTAGGTTGTGTTAATTCCATTACCCCCAAAGTGCGTTAAACAGCCCAGGGAAGTATAGCATTTGACAGTGAAGTGTGATGGTTGGGGGTGCTTTGGAGATCTTGGATTATCCGTCTTGCCACAGCCTTTGTGTGTGCCTGGAGAGGACTGTGTTCTGAATTGGGAAGGGGATCTGACGAATTGTTGGCTGACAGCTCACTACTGCGTTTTAATAGTATGTAATGTTTATTACTTCACATGTTGCAGATCTTGGCCGTGTATTTGTCATTATCACAGTGTCAGTGTCTTAAAAACCCTGGTTAAAACAATGCTGTCATGAGGAAAAGTCTAATGAAAGTCATAATGTGCGTGTCATAAGAGCTTTTAAGGTTGCATAAACAAACGCTGATGTGCTGTGATGGCGTTAATATGTTCTTCAGCGTTCTGCAGAGTGTTCTGCTGAGTGTTAGGGGCAAAGCTAATGCTCATGTTCTGGTGACGTTATGGTAAATGTTATGGGTGGCTGGTTTAAAAAAAAATAAAAAATCCTGTATATATGTGCCAGTCACCTGTTTCGTTTTCAACTTCTTCATAGCAGATTCAGCACCCTAACATGTTTAGCTTGTTGTTGGTCTTGCTTCAAGGGATCACAGCTGAAGCATTGAAATACAGGTATTTTCCTTAAAAGCAGGAAGAGAATGTAAAATTTTTGTCTTATTTCCACAGTGCTGCTGCTGTTGGAGGGTTCAGGCTTTAAATACAACTAAACTTCTTTCCCCTGCCCCCAGGATGCATTATGAAACGGCCTTTCTGGGAATTTGAACTGAGCATAAGCAACCTACAGAATTCCTCAAATACCTCCCATTGAGAGCAAACTCTAGGCTGCCTCATGCAGGAACAGATTCTCCTCTACTGCAGTTGACTTCAGGAACTACAGTAGAGCGAGCCTACGCGTTAAGTATTAGGGGAGAAACAGAGATGCTGCAAAGTCTAGGCTGATTTTATAAATGCGAATAAAATTAAGAACAGCTTGGAGAAGCTTGTTCTTGTTAGGTCTGGGAATATATTTGGCAAAACAGACCAGTGCAGCAAGACAAGATTTCGTATGTTTCCTGGATTGAGGTTTTATAAAAACAATTTTCATGTAAAAATTTTTGTTCAGAACGCAGCCATCGAGGAATTGGAGCGCACCAGGCTCTGAGCTTCCATGCGTGGCTGCTTTGTTGTTGTCTGCTTGCGTTCAAGCTCACTGTGGGCAATTAGGTGTATTAATGTGCGTGTATTTTAATTGTTTCTGTATGAAAGCATGTTCCTTTGTCAGGTGCTGTTACTCTCTGGCAGGGGTGATGCATTCAGTGGTGAGTACAGAGGAAGCCAGGCTGCAAAACTTGAGTCCAGATTTCAAGCTCCTAGAGCAGAGGTGTGTTTGGATATGGATTTTTGGCTTGGTTCGTTATAGGCACAAAAGCCAAACGCAAGATCTGGTTCTAATTTCCAACCCCCCTGCTGAAGTTTAGATTTTTAGGGTAAGTTTTTGTTTCAGCCCATAGCTTGATGTAATGTAGTTTCTTCTTTCTTCTTTTCTTTTTCATTTCTACATATCGAATGTGTCTTATTTTTTGGTATGGGATACTTGGGAAGAGTCAGGGACACTCTGCAGTTCTTAATACTGGCCTTGTTTGGTGACCTGTGCCTGGCAGTTAAACTTGTCACAGAAGGGGAGGGTTGTTTCACTGGCACAGTGGGTACTTTTCTTTGTCTTGCTCGTACTTTCACATCAGCTGCCTGTTAAGTTCTTTTTTCAAATATAAGCATTAGGTTTAGAGGTTAAAAGATGTATGACATGTTTGGAGTAGAAGCTAGGAGCTAGAGCAATCTGAGATGGTGTTATGTGGAATAAAACCATCTTGCTTTGGCTGTTTTCTTTCGGTCCTCACAATATCCTTGGAAAGCGCTGTGGTTAGCAATGTTACTGACTCTGCAAAGTCCCCAGTAGATATCTAGGACTGCTTTCTGAGAAGATGTGGTTAGTTCTGTAGTTCCCTTGCGACAGAGCCTCCTGTCGTCCTTGCGTTCAAGGTTTTACTTTGCTCTGAAGAGCTGAGTGGTGTAAAGAAATAGCTTTTCTGTCTTAAACTCTCCCATTTGGAGGTTGGACCAATATTTTTTTTTCTTCTCCCTAACATGTACTTTTAAATTGTGGGAAGTACACAAGTGTTTATGTTCAGATGTCCAGATAAAGTTTTCCATCATTAGTGACTTCAAATCTCTGGGGAATTCATCTGGCTTTAGTGTCAGAGGATGTATTGACTACAGGCCAATATTTTATGAGACTTGGGAAGCTTTAGCAAGTCCCATGTCAAATGGGGTGGGGTTTTTTGCTTTTAAGCAGGGCAGGGAAGGAATAAAGCTTACTAACATGAGTGCGGAAGTTGTTAATGAGTGGTATTTTCTGCCCTATTGCATACCAGTCACTCTTAAGCATCTCACTCAATGCATTAATACTTTTTTTTTAAATTATTCTCTCAATTTGCATTCTTGTCTTATGTTCACACTAAGGACTTTCATCATGGAGGAACACATTTTCTTTTGAATATCATTCTACTTCTTTTCCCATTTTGCCTTGATTCTGATTAAACTGTCAGAACTAATTAAAAGGTAATTTAAAAAAAAATTAGGGTTTTTTTAATACAAACTGCAATATTTACAATGGGTTTTTTATATCAAAAGACTTATTGCTGAAACCAGTTTTGTTCATAGAACATAACTGATTGAAAATTATAGATGTACTTTTGTATTTGTCAATGTTAAAAGCCCTTAATGGAGGAAGACCAATCCTTAAATCACAATGTGAATTGGTGTTTTGTTTTGTTTTATTTTCCACAATCTGTCAAATCTGACCTTTTTTTCAAATTAGAGTTATTGTGAGTTAATACCCTGTGGGAAAAGTCTTTCTGGTATTTTTGGCAGCTGAATGACTTTTCCTTGTTTGTATTTAGTTGTGTCTTAATGTAATTTTAATTTGTATGTATTTAACAATTACAGGGCTCAGCTGAAGCCTTGATAAAGTCCAATGTAAATGAGGGTGTAGCTTTACAGGGTGAACACCAACAGTGCCAAAAACTTTAGCCCCTGAAAATAAATGGAAGGTTTTAGTCAGGACAACTCTTTGACAGTGAAGTTTTAAAGATCTTTAAAAGCTCCACTCTTCCTGGAGAGTGACTTGGTTTATTCGTAGTGTCCTTGCTCAGACAGCTCTGTTTGCGGCTGCAGCATTTGTCTGTCTGTTGCTTCTTGGTAGTTTTCTCTCAAAACCTGAGGTGGTCTGTGAGAGAAAAGGCACCATTTACTCTTGCATATCTGGACACAGTATCTAGCCCAAGAGAGTCCCATGTCCTCTTTTAAAATGCTTATGCCTGTGATGGGGAATCAGGAGTCTTGCCCTCAATACGGAGAATGAGGTTTGGAGAGGGACCCATGGCAATGATTTAGAATGATGCTGCCAAAAGAAGTTTGACATAACCTTCAGGTGTTAATACAATGTAATACAAGAAGAATGCAAATAACAAAGGTTGATGTAATTCTGAATACATGTATTGGCCTGGGATTGCTCATACTACCGTAGCTTGCAAGGTCAGCAAATGTTGCAAGGTGCATTTTAAATTTTACTTCTCCTTTGTGTCAGTTTATTATCTAAAAAAATCCAAACACCCCCCCAACCCTCAATCGGTTATTTAAAATGTTTTGCATTATAAAATTGAGTTTTTGTATGGTTATAGCTCCTTCCTGTATTCATGCAAAGCCTTTCTTTTGTCCGTCTATCCATTAAAAATAATTTGCGTAGATATTTGTGTGTATTACGTTTGCTAGCTGGATCTAGCGAGGTCCCTAAACGGTGTGCAAGTGTATTATTGCAAGAGTCTTGCTAAACATATAATAGAGCTTCACTACTAGTCATTATAACCATTTTATAATACTGTTCTATTGGCTTTTGCACATGGGCAGTTGCGGACTTACCAGAGCACGGTGCTAAGTGATGTACAGCGCGCCTGCCATTCCTCATCTTCCGTGGGTGCTCAGCAGTGGATTATTCCCACGTACGCGACACGAGAGCTGCCGTGCCGCACAGCGGCTGTTTCCAGCCCCTGTTATTAGGGCATCTGCTTTAATCAGCGGCCTTAGCACCAATAATCCAGCCTTTCCACACAGCTCTTTGGATTGTCTTTTTGATGTGCTCTCACTCTTGGTGTCTTTTATGAAATGTAGCCGTAAATACCTTCTTGAGCTCCTCTTGTTCTGGGACACCTGGGGGAAGCTGTAAGCTAGTTGTACCTAGGAGGCTAGTAGAAGGCAGCTGTTTTTATTTGTCCTGTAATGGCTGAAGTATGCAGCTAGTCCTTTTTTTCCGTGTACAGTTTTCCCTTCTGTTATCCATTATGTGGACTTGTTGCATGTATTACAGCAGATATGATTAGGTTCCGCAACTATTTATGCATCTATTGAACCTTCTGGTAAGACCTGTCCGTCCAGGTGCTTGAGATGCAAGTTCCTCCCCAGTGGAACCACAGTGCTTTCATGAAGATAAAGTCATGTCTTGAGTCTATAACTGTATCTGGCACTTTGTTGCAGAGAAGTTAAGATACATGGACAGAAATGGGGAAAAAACATGGTTTGTCCTCTTATGAGTATGGTATCCAAGTGTAGAAAAACCAGTACGATTCTGGTTAAGGAAATGTGAAACCATGTTGTATTTCATTCTCTGAGGGCAGAGTTAAGCTTGTGCCTACAACCCATGTTATTGGTACTGTCTTGCTTGAGGTGCTTCTCCCTAGAAATATCATTATCCTATTGCTTCTGTCTGGTGTAAG